GAATAGTTAGGGTTAGGGTGAGAGTCATAGTATAGTTTTTAGTTAGCTTTGGGTTAGGGTTAAAGTTTTTTTATATTAAATAATTTTATAATATTTATATATTCCCACCTATACTAAATAAGATCCTTATAATATGAACTTTATTATCCTAATATTAACTATAAAGAGCTGTTAGAATAATTATTTAGCTTTATTGATTATTTTGATTTCTTATATTATACTAGTGATTGTCTAAAACTCATATGATTGCAGTTTTCTTTTTACATATAATAAAGATGCTCAAATCTAATCTATTATATAGTTAGCATTAGTTTCAAATAGCCTTTATATTGTTGTACTATATATATACTTCTATCACATGAAGGCTAACCAATTATAGTATTCTACCGATATTGATATCTTATAGTCAATTTTGATTGGCTAGTTATATACTGCACTACAATAAATTTAAATTTTCTAATCTGAATTTATTGATCTAGCTGGGTTATGAAAACCAAAAAATTAACTTGGCCTGGCCTAATACATATGAAATTTTTCATATTTACTAATTAGATATTTTATTAATTAAACTGTGTTATATTTATTTATTGATTGCAAATCATTTTTTTCTGTTAATGTGCAGATTATCAATTAAGTAAATTCTTATTTTGGTCTTAATAAAAGTTGTTTATTAGGCCTTTCTAGTTCTAATAGTAGTAAAATCATTAAAATTGAACTAGTAAGTTCTAAAATATATATATATCTGAAGTTAGTTAATTTTTTTTTACTTTTAAAAAATAACTATTAGTTTAATTTTAATGATTTTACTGCTATTAGAACTGAAAAGGCCTAATAAACAACTTTTATTAAAATCAAAATAAAGATTTACTTAATAAAAATACCTTTTCTGAAGAATTTTTTAAATTTTGAAAAGATGGCACTAACAAAAATGAGGGTGGCAATAATAACACTCTATTTTAATATGATTTTTTATTAATTTTTCAAGAACTACTAATTCAAATTGGCTAAAGTTTTAATATATTGTAACACTATATTATAACTATCTACAATAAAAATTTCATCCAATTTTGATTAATAGTTGTTAAGAAAATTATAGCTAGAACTATATATATGAGTTGCTGTTAATAGAAATAAGGCAGATTGATATTTTAAAAAAATTCAATATTTTAACTTTCATAGCTTATATCTCAATAGATTTTGAAGCTATCTTAATTATTTAATAGTTAAAAGAAAGCTTATGATCTAAGCTTTTTTTGAATACTAAATTATCAAGATAGCCTCAAAGTTCATCAAGATAAGGGCTGCGAAAATTAAGGTATTGAATTTTTTTAAAATGTCAATCTGCCGTATTTCTATTGATGGCAGCCCATATGTATCAAAAAGTCAAAGGCCATGAATATGTAAAAAGTGTGAAACATGGTACAGTTTAAAGAATAAAATGATTAAAGATGTCGTGGAAGTAGAAAAAAAGATTACTAAAGTGAGAAGTGTAAAGCAAAGAAAAGATGAATCAGTAATAATGTATACTTACTGTTATGAGGCACTTGTGGCTCCAATAAAAGGGATGATAAAGGATTATGAGGAAATGTATTGGTATACTTTCGGGCTATGTGAGTCATACCAATGGGAAATCGAATCTATATGCCCTATGATATACGAAGAAGCAAAAGGATGGGCATTAGAATTAGAAGAAATTGATGTTGAAAGTAAAGAAATCATTGGATTAAATGTTGATAAGGCTGTTGAAATAGAAAAAATGAATATTAAAAGAAACAATATATCTGAAGTTGAAATCGAAAGATGTAATAAGACATTCGTTTGTTATCAACAATCAGCCAAGATAGAAGGTGCAATTAACAATCTTGATCAATGTTATCGAAATGAAAGTGGAGTCAAGGATGACAATGATTTGGATGGAGGCTATAAGGCGCTCAATGATATAATAAATGAATATTCCAGTAATAGTGAGAACCAGAAATGTGGAATAAATGAAAATTGTCAAAATAAACCTAATAAAGTCAGGAATAGCGTCATCAAAATGGATAAGGGATGATTTGGAAGCTGAAGTCAATCAATTGTTGTTGGACATGA